TCCAGAACAGAACCAAGATCGGGAGCTCCACGGCCGCAAGCCTCTATAGCCACTAAAAACGAATCGGGACCCTATTCTAACACCCTGCCGGAGGGGGGACGCATCACCGGTGGCCATCCTCATCATCCCGGCGCTCTCCATGACGAGGAGGGAGTAGTTCACCCTCGGGGTTGAGGTTATGTACCAGTAGCTATGTGTTTGATCTCTCTCTCTCTCGTGTTCTTGATTTGGCATGATCATGATGTACCGCGAGCTTTGATATTATAGTTGGATCGTATGATGTTTCTCTCCCTCTACCTTCTTGTACTGGATTGATTTTTCCCTCTGAAGTTATCTTATCGGATTGAGTCTTTAAGGATAGGAGAACACTTGATGTATGTCTTGCATTTGCTTATCTAGGGTGATAATGGGATATTTGCGTGATTCACTTGATGTATGTTTTGGTGATCAACTTGCGGGTTCTATGACCTTGTGAACTTATGCATAGGGGTTGGCACACGTTTTCGTCTTGACTCTTCGGTAGAAACTTTGGGGCACTCTTTGATGTTCTTTGTGTTGGTTTGAATAGATGAATCTGAGATTGTGTGATGCATGTCATATAATCAAACCCACAGATACTTGAGGTGACATTGGAGTATCTAGGTGACATTAGGGTTTTGGTTGATGTGTGTCTTAAGGTTTATTTTACTATGAACTCTAGGGTTGTTTGTGACACTTATAGGAATAGCCCAGTGGATTGATCGGAAAGAATAACTTTGAGGTAGTTTCGTACCTTACAATAATCTCTTTGTTTGTTCTCCGCTATTAGTAACTTTGGAGTGACTCTCTGTTGCACGTTGAGGGATTTTTATATGATCCAATTATGTTATCATTGTTGAGAGAACTTTCACTAGTGAAAGTATAAACCCTAGGCCTTGTTTCGAAGCATTGCAATACCATTCTCGCTCACTTTTGTTACTTGCTACCTTGTTGTTTTTATATTTTCATATTACGAAAACCTATATCTGCCATCCATATTGCACTTGTATCACCATCTCTTCGCCGAACTAGTGCACTTATACAATTTACCATTGTATTGGGTGTGTTGGGGACACAAGAGACTCTTTGTTATTTGATTGCAGGGTTGTTGAGAGAGACCATCTTCATCCTACATCTCCCACGGATTGATAAACCTTAGGTCATCCACTTGAGGGAAATTTGCTACTGTCCTACAATCCTCTGCACTTGGAGGCCCAACAACGTCTACAAGAAGAAGGTTGCGTAATAGACATCAAGCTCATTTCTGGCACCGTTGCCAGGGAGGTGAGTGCTTGAAGGTATATCTTTAGATCTTGAAATTGAATCTTTTAGTTTCTTGTTTTATCACTAGTTTAGTCTATAAAAGAAAACTAAAAAATGGAATTTAGATTGCCTCATAAGCTTCATCTTTTTAATGTCTTTCGTGAAAATGATTGAAAGGAAAATTGTGCCAAATTGTTAGAAGAAGAATGCATTAAAATGTTTGGCACTAAATCTTTGAATGACGAGCATGATTGCAATGTTGTTAGTATGAATTCCTTGAATATCCATGATGCTAATGATATGCAAAGCCACAAGCTTGGGGATGCTATTTTTGATGAAGATGATATTTTTAGTCCCCCAAGTTTTGATGAGAAAATATATTATGATGATAGCATGCCTCCTATCTATGATGATTATTGTGATGACATTTATGCTATAAAGAGTAATGATATCCATAAAACTCGTCATCATGATTTTAATGCTCAAAATGATTACGTGAATAAAGTATCACATGATAGTTATTTCGTTGAGTTTGCTCCCACTACTATTCATGAGAATAAATTTGCTTCTGTGGAGAGTAGTAAAATTTTTATGTTTGTGCATCATGAAAATCATGCTTTATGTGATAGTTATATTGTTGAATTCATTCATGATGCTACTAAAAATTATTATGAGGGAGGAATATATGCTTGTAGGAGTTGCAATAATATCAAGTTTCCTCTCTATGTGTTGAAAATCTTGAAGCTATGCTTGTTTTGCTTTCCTATGCTAGTTGATTCTTGTTCCCATAAGTTGTTTTCTCACAAAATCCCAAGGCATAGGAAGTGGGTTAGACTTAAATGTGATAGTCATATGCTTCGTGATGCTCCTATTATGTTTCAATTCTTATCTTTTATGTGAGCATCGTTGAAATCATCATGCCTAGCTAAAAAGGCATTAAAGAAAAGCGCTTGTTGGGAGACAACTCAATATTTATCCTTACTGTTTTTATGTGTTCACATGATTATGCTACTATAGTAATCATGTTTTATAGCTTTTGTTTTAATAAAGTGCCAAGTAAGACCTTTGGGATGGCTTACGGTAATAGTTGATTTTATCTTGCTGAAAAACAGAAACTTTTGCGCTCACGAAAACATTTTTTATAATTCACAGAAGCGTGCTTTTAAGTTTATTATTTTTGCAGAAGATTAATAAACAAATTGATTAGGACTTGTTAATTTCTCAGGATTTTTGGAGTTACAGAAGTATTCGAGAGTTACTGATTACTACAGACTGTTCTGTTTTTGACAGATTCTGTTTTCTATGTGTTGTTTCCTTATTTTGATGAATCTATGAGTAGTATCGGAGGGTATGAACCATAGAGAAGTTGGAATACAGTAGATATTACACCAATATAGATAAAGAATGAGTTCACAACAGTACCAAAAGTGGTGATTTATTTTCTTATACTAACGGAGCTTACGAGTTTTCTGTTAAGTTTTGTGTTGTGAAGTTGTGCATATGTTTGCTTGTTTAATGATTCTATTTGAGGATAAGAGTATTAAATATGCAGAGAAAATTAGTATGCAATGTTGAATAATAATTTTTTTTATTTGTTACAGTAGAAAATGATAAGGTTTTTGCATTGGTTTATACTAACTTACCTCACAAGTTCTTGTTGAGTTTGGTGTGGATGAAGCTTTCGAGATTTAGGAAACCGAGATATAAAAGGAATTAAGAAGACACAAAAGCTCAAGCTTGGGGATACCCAAGGCACCCCAAGATCATATTTCAAGAAGTCTCAAGCATCCAAGCTTGGGGATGCCCCAGTAGGCATCCCACCTTTCCACTTCAACAATTATCGGTTAGTATCGGTTGAACCTAAGTTTTTGCTTCTTCACATGATGTGTGCTATCCTTGATATGAAATTTTGTTTTATTTGCTTGTTGTTTGAATAAAATACCAAGACCTTAAATTCTTAAATGTTCGAGAGTCTTCACATAGTTGCACAATTATTAGAATACTCTATGTGCTTCACTTATATCTTTTGGAGTAGTTTGTCATTTGCTCTAGTGCTTCACTTATACCTTTTTAGAGCACGGTGGTGGTTTTATTTTGTAGAAATTATTGATCTCTCATGCTTCACTTATATTATTTTGAGAGTCTTTTAGAACAGCATGGTATTTGCTTTGGTTATAAAATTGGTCCTAATATGATGGGCATCCAAGATAGGTATAATAAAAACAATCATATAAAGTGTATTGAATACTATGAGAAGTTTGATACATGATAATTGTTTTGAGATATGAAGGTGGTAATATTAGAGTCATGCTAGTTGAGTAATTGTGAATTTGAGAGATACTTGTGTTAAAGTTTGTGATTCCCGTAGCATGCACGTATGGTGAACCGTTATGTGATGAAGTCGGAGCATGATTTATTTATTGATTGTCTTCCTTATGAATGGCGGTCGGGGACGAGCGATGGTCTTTTCCTACCAATCTACCAATCTTCATTTCAATAAATAACAAATTTTTGCAATAAGTATGTGAGTTCTTTATGACTAATGTTGAGTCCATGGATTATACGCACTCTCACCCTTCCACCATTGCTAGCCTCCCTAATACCGCGCAACTTTCGCCAGTATCATACACCCACCATATACCTCCCTCAAAACAGCCACCATACCTACCTA